ATCTAATAACAGGATTGGTAGATCAAATGGTATTTCTACTCCTGACTTTCTAAGGAAGGGCTACACTGCTTTCCATGTTGGTTACATCCCTTTTACAGTCCTACCAGCAGTGTAATCTCTCCACAGCCTCATCAGCATTCATTATTTACTGCCTTTTTGAACATTGCTGTTGTCACCAGGATGAGATCATATCTATTATTTTTATTTCCATCTTTATGTCTTAGAAAGAGTGCAGCTCTTTGGAGGCAAGAATGATGATACTTCTCACATGCTTTGGGCATGTTGCTAGGAGGGGTTATTCCTTGGAGAAGGACATGATTCTGGAAAGGGTGGAGGGTTGGCAAAGGAGAGGAAGACCCTAAACTAAATGGATTTATACAGTGACTGCTGCAGTGGGCTCTTGTGTGTCAGGAAGTGTGAGGATGGTGCAGGATAGAGCACGATTCAGACCTTTTGTTCATAGGGTCTGACTTGATGACACCCAATAACAAAAACAATAACAGATTGAAAGGGAGCACTGGTGGCCTTAAGCGTAAGAAGTTGCAATGCCAATCCAAAGACAGGCAGTTCAAATCTACCAGCTGTTCCTTGGGAGAAAAATGGGCAATCTCCTCCTATTATGATTTACGGCCTCTGAAAACCTGCTGGAGTGTCAGCCATAGTTGGTTCTGACTCAACACTAATGAGTTGAGTTTTAAATAGTTAATGGGGAGATCTCTGATGACATAATCTATAGGAAGTTACACTCCTAACACAAGAGACACTCCTCTCTAGTGGTTTAAATCCAGCAGAGGCTCCAAGAGAGAAAGATAAGCAATTTCTTTTCAGAAACTCACTAGTAGCCATTAATAAGTTCTGACTCAACAGCAATGAGAATGAGTAATAATCTTAAGCATTTCTTCATGTGTTTTTTGGCCATCTGAATGTCTTCTTTGGTGAAGTGTCTATACATGTACTGTGCCCATTTTGAGATGAGATTTTTGTCTTTTTCCTGTTGAGGGTTAGAATTTTCTGTAAATTCTAGAGGTGAATGCCTTGTCAGATGTGTCATTGCCAAATCTTTTTCCCTAGTCTAGAGGTTCTCTTTTTATTCATTTGAAAAAGTCTTTTGATGCACGTAAAGATTTACTTTTGGAATGTTCCGATCATCTAGAGTATGAGAGATCAGAGGAAGACCCTCAGTGAGATGGATTGACACAAT